TGGCTGGAGATATGCGTCCAGCCTGGACAATGGCACTCCATGAAGGAGATGGAGGAAATAATCCTTGTTCCCCGCTCTATCTTCCATATCCTCATAGTGATCTGGACAAGAAGAAACAGGATGAGATTCAGGCAGGGGGACCACCCAACAGCTCTCTAACAGGGACGTGAGCTGAGCCCAGGGGCATGTTGACCTAGGAGCAAGTAAATCTCCACTTTGGGCAGTTTGAAGGACAAATAATAAAGAACTGGTTGGGCAAATATGTCTTGGGCTGCTTAGGACAAGCTGATACTGCCTTGGAGCAGGAGGGTGATGAGGTGGACCTCCAGATGTCCTGCTCTGCTTCAGTACAGCCCAAGGGGCTATACGGGGTGGGCAGTAAGCAGTTTGCCAGTGAGCTGATCAGAGCTCCTACCCCCTGCCTGATCTTCTCCATCACAAGAACATCCATCTGATGTGCTGGGAGTGAGACTGTGTTACAAAGTCGAGCGCAGAGTTCTCAGGATCCCTGCCGATGCCTTGCCAGAGAAGAGGAGCAGGGAGGAGGAACCGGGAGAGGAGATGGTATCGTCCTAGGGAAGGAGCAGAAGTCTCATCCTTTGAGCCACTCAGGAAAGAAATTGGGTTAAGTGCTGAAGAATATCTTGTGAAATGATCCTGTCCCAAGAACACAGTCACATAGGCAGGAGCTACCCCCATGTTCCCACCTCTTATCCCCTCTCTCTGCCAGCTCACGGGGCAGTAACCCTCTAATATGACTCCGAGATGGCACTTGCATTTTCAAAGCTTCTGTTGTTGATAAGCAGAGGGTTTAACTCTCAGTTTGTCATCCTTCATGAATGTGGCTTGCGGGAAGGAGAAAAGAGAAGAGGAAGAGAGATATTAAAAATAGATGATGAGAACAAAGCAGAAAGGACTTTAAGAGAAGTTTTTATCTTAGATTTACATACAGCGCCAGTGGTGTCCTGAGGTCCAGTTTACAGCAACAAGTTCCACTGCTGGGGGGCTGGATTAATGGCACATGTAACCTCCTCCTCTCCTGCTGAGACTTCCCCTTTCTGGAGCCATGTGTTCCTACACCAGACCCTATTTCTTGTTCTCTGAGCACAAAGAACAAACTGATTCCTTCAGGTGTAAAAAAAAAAAAAAAAAAAAAAAAAAAAGGCAAATGAAGAGGGAACAGTACAGTTTGTGGTAGAGCACACCCTATGCAGAGCCCTGCTTAAAGACAGGCAATGACTGTCCATGGGAGAGCAGCTAAAGGAGGAGGAGGACAAGGCTTAATCCTTTCATTGTAATATATCAGAGCTGATTAGTGGGGAGAAATGCCATATAAATCAAAAAAGTTATGTCAGCCTCAGGGCAGCCTGGGCTAAGGGTAGGGGACACCAGGAAGGGAGGCTGAGCCTCCCCAGGAGCGTGGGCAGAAATGCAGGCAGGACCCTCAGAGGGGGCTGCCCAGGATTCAAAATGCTCTGTTGCTTCAACAATTTCTATTTTCTGTTAGCAGTGGATGTTTTTGTAGGAGAGGGGGGAAAAAATTTTTGGGGAAAAAGACCAATATTCTCTCTAAAAGCAGGCCTGATGGGAATTTTTCAGCCTGCCCTATTGAATACACTAGGGGTTGCTTTATTTGCTGCCTTGCATGATTACCTCTTTCGTTAACATTCGAGACAGGCAGCAGGCGAAAATAAGTCCTGAATAGATCCAAACTTTACTTCTCCAATCTCTCCCAGCATTAGGTTGGTTCAGACAAAGCCTGCACTGGAGGCTGGCTGCGAGGAAAGGTGTTTTGATTACCATAGAAATAGGGGCAGCGTGATCCTGAAAGGGCTTGGCTGTTGCACATTGAATCAACCCAACATTCTCCTCTGAGCATGAGCAAAACCATGGTTCACTGGTGAGCTGGGACGCCCTGTTAGCAGAGCAGGTCATTGCTGGCTGGCATCAACAGGGAAGGTCACAGTGTGGCTCTCTGGTTCAGATGCATTATTATCCTTGTTAGCAATGAAAATGGAGCACATAAAGGGGCAGCTGGAAATGGATGCTGGGGCTGGGAAATGATGATGACTATGACATTAAGCCTGGGTGTTTGGGAGGCAGGGATGGAGGTGTGAATGTGGCTGATAGGTTTTGCAGAGCAGGGAACAGTAATGAAGCATGGAGAGCTGGGACTGGGCTGTTGAGACTAGGAAAGACTGGGACGAAGCCAAAGACTCATTGCTGACCCATGTCATGGAGCTGGGTGGGACGTGGTGGGCAGTGGTAACGTGTGTTCCCTGTCCCAGAGGAAGTGCTGCTGAGGCCATTGTGTTTGGAGCCCTCCCAGGAGTGGCCCAGATGTTAAAGTACTGAGATGGTTGGCCAAAGACAACAGTGATGGAAGTACCTGCCACCCAGGAACCCTCGCAGTGAAGTGAGAGCACTGCTCCCAGCCCACGTGTCCTGCCAGTCAACCTGATCCCATATGGACAAGATTATGTCCATCAACTCAAGACAATTTAAGAAGGATGTGAAGCTCCTTGAGGTCCAGAGGAAGGCAACAAAGCTGGTGAAAGGGCTGGCAGGCATGTCCTGTGAGGATCAACTGAGGACTCTGGGTTTGTCTAGTTTGGAGAGAAGGAGGCTGAGGGGCGACCTCATTGCTCTCTGCAGTTCCCTGCGGAGGGCAAGCAGAGAGGGAGGTGCTGAGCTCTTCTCCCTGGTACCCAGCAGTAGGATGCATGGGAATGGTTCAAAGCTGTGCCAGGGGAGATTTAGACCTGACACGAGGAAGCATTTCTTTGCAGAGAGGGTGGACAGACATTGGAACAGGCTTCCTAGCGAGGTGATGGATGCCCCAAGCCTGTCAGTGTTTAAAAGGCATTTGGACAGTGTCCTTAACAACATGCTTTAACTTTTGGTCAGCCCTGAAGTGGTCAGGCAGTTGGATGAGGTGACCATTGTAGGTCCCTTCCAGCTGAACTGTTCTTTTCTGTTCTATTCTATTTTACTCTGTTCTATTCTGTTCTGTTGTTCTGTTCTGTTCTGTTCTCTTGTATTCTAAAGACATAAATAAGAACATGAGTCTGAACTCCCAGCAGAAAACACACCCAGCATGGTACTGCCTGACCGCTCCTCTGACAAACAGTGTGTCGGACACACCGGCATTTGTGATCTAGCCCACCAGCTCGGAGGCTGAGGATGTGAGCGCAGAATTAAGCAGCTTTCTGTAAATCTGAGCTCATTCCAGTGTGGTAAGGAGTGAGCAACAGTGGCTGGCCTGTGACTGCGGCGAGGCACGTGTGGGGGAACGCACGCTTTTTCACAGCGTAGTTGGGCAAGCTGTGGATGGACGAGGAATGTTCCTGCAGATGACCCCCATGGCGATGAGCAAGAGCCCATCCTGCCCCATGAGGAAACCTGTGCCAATCCCCACAGGGACGTTTTTCCCAGGTGAGATGGGATTTTGCAAGGGTCTGTGCCCCTGACACGTCAGGCTGGAGTATTTTACAGCCTGGAGTCAGTCACAAGCCCTGGACCAGGTACCACTGCCTGTGCTGGAGCATCTCTGGAGGAGGTGATGAGGGCCTCCCCCGGGGAGAGCCCGAGAGGCAGGAAGAGGGGAAGCGGAGCGGTTGCAGGGACAAGGGGGAGGAGGCCGTGCTCGCCATCGGGAAGACAGCAAATTTGTTCCTAATTTCTGGACAGTCCCTGTTGACTCTCCCCTTGTCCTCTCTGTCCTCAATTGTTCTGTTCATTTAATTAATCTCTAAAGTGTACACTCTTCAGTTCCTCTCTGTGCAGCAGTATCTCGGGGTCTTTTTACCATTTCAACTCTGGACTCAGTGTAGTCCAACGCCACAGATTTACATTAAAGCATTACACGATTTTCACTTTTATTCATCCCCAATTTTTATTTGACCGCAATTCCACAGACAACAGAGATTTCCTTCAAATAAGTTTGACATTTTGGGGGGAGACATTACACCTAGTTTAGAACTCATCACAGCCTATTAGTTATTTAAATTATTCCTCTTAGAACCACAATTCTTTAATTCAAGGAACACACATCAGCTTTTCTCTGTCAGGACAGTTACATCCTTGTTACTTCTGTTGTGGTAAAGACAAGATGTCCAGCTTGCAAGTACATCCATGGCGTGTATTTCTCTGGGCGCCCCTGCGTGCTGCTGGGCAGGTGCGTGCGGTAACATTTACAGAAGCGAAACCCAGATTTGCACCATCTGGGGCTGTGCTTTTTATTCCCCTCCTGGTTAACGGCTTTTTTATTTATTGTTATAAAGAATAGGTGCTCGTTCATGTTCACAGGCCAATATACCTCAAAACCTCTGAAAATGTTTTTCTCTCTTAACCAGGCCGGGGAACGGAAGGAAAGGCTCGAAACTGCGTTTTCTGCTGGGGGGCATCTAACACACCAGTGGAGAAACATGAAAAATAACACCCGGGTCGGGGGTGGGGAGGGGGGTAACTGCCCATTCCTCTCCTATTGCGGCTTGGAGGTTGCTGCACATTTCTTGAGAGACCCTGGGTCACGAAAACATCTTTCTCACAAAAAAAGGTGTCTTTTTATTTTTGTTTTTGTTTTTTTTTTTTTTTGGGGGGGGGGGGGGGGGGGGCGGGGGCGGGCTCTGTCCGCGCAGCAGCGTGGACAAGCCTCGCCCCACCGTACCCACCCGTGCCGTGACCCCCGGCGCGGCGCCGCCCCCGCCGTCCCGCTCCCCATCGCCGCCCACCACGTGGCTACACCCCCCCCCCCCTCGCCCCCCTCCTCGCGTGGGGCCGGGCCGGTGTGGGGATGGGTAGCGTCAGGAGCGGGGAGCGAAGGGCTGTGGAGAGAGGGCGGCGGGGGGGTGGGGAGGGAGGGCGCTGCCCCTTTAAAAGCGCCGGTGTGTGGGCGTGGCTTGGGGGGCGTGGCGCGGCGCGGCGCGCTGAGGTCAGCGGCGAGCGGGCGCCGTCACAAAAGGAAGTGGCGGCGGCGGCGGCCGTCAGCGCGGGGAGGGGCGGGGGCCCGCGGGGCAGCGCGGCGGCGGCGGCGGGAGCGCGGGACGGCGGCGGCGGCGGGGGGGGGGCGGCGGAGGCCGCGCCGCGCCATGGCCCAGCAGCAGATGAGCAGCTCGCAGAAGGCGCTGATGCTGGAGCTGAAGTCGCTGCAGGAGGAGCCGGTGGAGGGCTTCCGCATCACCCTGGTCGACGAGTCCGACCTCTACAACTGGGAGGTGGCGATCTTCGGGCCCCCCAACACGCTGTACGAAGGCGGCTACTTTAAGGTAACGGATTCCCCCGCGCCCCGGCGAGGGGCACGGCGTCCCGCCGCCGCGGTGGTCCCGGGGAGCCGCCGGCGGGGCCTGCACATCCCTCCCTCTCCCCCCCCCCCCGCCGTGCCGCGGGCCTCTTTGTCGGGATCGGTGGGGCGGCGGGAGGGGAAGGGGGTCGGCGCCGGCGGGAGGAGGGAGGGCAGGGAGGTTCGGCCGCCGTCGCGGGTGCTGCCCGTCCCCTGCCGCCGGCAGCGGGGGGCCGGGGCCGGGCTGGGGGCCTGCGGGACCTCCCCTCCCCTCCCCTCTCCCCCGGGATGCGCCCCGGGGAGAGGGGGCCGCAGCCGCCGGTGCTCTGTTGCCTTCCCATGCCAACCCCGGATAGAGGCAGGTACCTCGTGGCAGGGCGCAGATTTTTCCCTTTTACCCCCGAAGCTGGCCGCTTGGCTCTGTCTGTGTATATTTATTTCACTGCAAGGGGCTCCCCAGCCATCCCTCGACAGCTCCACGCGTCGCGCAGGAGCATCATATGTAGGGTGACTAATTCAGGGTAAAGCCTGTGTTTTCCTCAAAACTTAATGGGCTTCAGGACTGTTTTTTAATTATCATCTCCCCCCTACCTGCTTTCCTTCCTTTCCAAACTTTTAGAGGGCAGCCTTCACAGGGCTGTGGCAACACATAATTGATGAAGGTAGATAAATGCTTTCAATTCCTCTCTCAACCATCCTGTTAATAAAAAAAAACCAAAACAAAACAACCTTTTGTGGTCGTTATTTCCCCTCTTGTAAATACAGTAAGCAAGAAATTTGGCACTGCTGTCCCAGAAAGGAACTGAAAGGAGTAGACTTAAATTCTCAGAACAACTGGAGGAGAAATTGCATGTTGTTCTTAGAAGAATCAACTAAAAAACTGTAGCCCCTGCAGAAGATATATTGCATTGGGTGTACCCCTTTGCGCTTGATGTCTGCTTGGTCTCTGGCAAAATATTGTCCCCTTCAGCTCACTTCTCCTAGGAGTTAACTGTTTTAGTAGTGGCTCCTGCGTCTCCTGTTTCATGCCCTTTGGCTTCTGTCAAACTGAAAAAATTTTTGGATGATCTCCGTGCTTGGCTAACGTGCATCTTCGGTGCCTCTTGGCCTCTCTGGGTCAAGGTTTAAGAGCTTTGTTCCACAAAACTAAAATAACCTGTAGCTTGGGGAATAATAGATTTGAGTCACGTTCAGTTCAGGCTCATTGTTTTGAAGGAAGGGAAGGCTTTGGCACAAGGCTTGCCTTTTGTAATGAGTTGGCTGGCTTACTCATGAAGGTGTGATAGGTGTATTCTTAGACTCACCTCCATTATTACTTATTCAGGAAGTCACTCTAGTCTTTGGTTGGTAAGTGGGTCATTTTTACATCCAAATGGTTTGGCGACCTCTTCCTGCACTTATATTACTCATCCTTTTTTTTTTTTTTTTTTTTTCCCAAAGAAATCACAATGGGCCAAAATACTTTTGTTCTGTTGGGGAGCTGTCTGTACTATATGTTTATAATTGTTCCTGGAAAGAAGCTGAAGCAGCCTGTGAAATAATCTGGGGATGTCTGTTAACAAGTGTAGGTTTAGTCAAGTTTGCCAGTTGCCTTACCAATAAAAATAGCACATTCATAATACCAAGGTATTTGATGTTCTTGAGCTGTTGTGCCTTTCTTCTAAATTCTTCTGACTGATCCTGTGGTACTTATTTTGAGGGTGGGAGACTAAGGTCTCATGAGGGCCTTCACCCCTCCACAGCAGAGGGATTCCCTTCGAGTGGCATGGCTGAAGTCTCTCATGTCTTGTGTCGGTCTCATCTTTCCTCTCTGAGGAGCCGTGCATGAGCATCTGGTCTTTGGTTATGCATCCTAACTTCTGAGCCACTGAAACAGCAGTCTTAGACTCTCACTCTGTCCCTAGGCAGATGTCTTGTTGTCCTGAGAAATGATGTTCTTGACTTTCTTTGTATTGGGCCCCACACTTCCAATGTGTTAGACTTGGCTTACTGAATCACTTAAAGATAACATTAATAGCCAAAATTTTATTTGGTGAGGTGACTTCTATGATATATTTGTAGTATATGCAAAGTGAGCACTAGTTCAGATCAGCATCTGATTTATTTTTTTCAGATTTCTTGGCTGGATGAAATATCTAGTTCCATCATGTTTAATATTTTTAGTTTCCTAAGGTGAGGTAAGCAGGATTAGAAATACGCAATTACAGGATGTAACTTTTTTTAAACTTCGTGGTGATGAGAGTTTGGGAATTTTCTTCCACTTGAGGTATGGTTTGAGGGTAGGAACTGGAGGGAAGGTACAAAGGCTTCTAGTTAAGCTCAAGTATAAATATTTTGAAGAAAGCCTGTGTTTAATGTGACCTGAATAAAGAAAGTCTTAGTAATGGTTGATTTGGAATACGAATGCTTGATTTGTGCTTGTGGAGCTCTTGGAGCTGGTCACATCGGCTTTTGGCACCTTGTTCATTCTTGGAGAAATACGACCTTTCTCTCTGGGTTGTTGAACTAGCTGAATAAACCGAAATGAGAAAAGTGCTTTCTTTGCACCTCATTGACAGGAGCTACTGCTGTTAAAAGCTGGTTCAACATTTCAACATATTCTGGTTTCAGTTGCTACTCCTGTAACTCTAGCATTTGATAAACTGAAGCAGAAAACAAGTTCTCTTGAATGTTTAAGTGGTAGGTTATCAATACCTTAGTGCTGCCTATAATAAAGTTAGGGACTTCTTGAATTTCTGCATAGCATCTAAGCATATTTTGTCAACTACTGTAGCATGCACCCATCTGCTGCAGTTATTTGTAGTTTAGGACCTCCCAGCTAGATGGAAAGGACAGCAGCCTTCAGAAGCAACCCCTGTGTGAAGAGCAGCTTGTATCAGCGAGGGATAGGAGCAGTCCTGAGCCACAGGCCCCTCCTATGCAGTCAGCTGAAGGTGAACATCTGCAGTGGAGGTTATGTCAACCGTTGCCCTATCTAGTGACTTTGTTCCTGGTCATACTGAATAGCTACCTAATGTTTTGGGCAACCCTTTGCTTAAATTCTGGATTTCCACCCTTAAGGAAGCAGTTAAGCTATCCCATACACTGGTTACCTCTCATTCCATGCTGGCAAGGCAAAAGTAGCTCAAGGCCCGTGATGTTAAGACCTCCAGAGAGGCCCAGTGATGAGAGTAAATGTCTGTCCCTCTGCTGCTGTCAGCAAGAAGTTGCCAGTTTGACTGAAGTTTCTAGCAGCATCAGTTATGTTGAGCTACAGGTGTTTGACTGTGGAAAATGAACTTGTTTTGGTCCCTGACTTGTTCAGGGTTCGTTTAGGGGTGAAAGGTGGGTAGACCTTGTGTGTCTAAGATGTTGATTTGCTCACAGCTGATTCAGTTACTGAGGTTTTTTTGAGTGACAAAGGGAAGATTTTTCTCAGACTGAAATGTTTCATGTCCAGGTCACAGATAGTGTCTGTTGCCTCTTTTTTAGGTCAGCTGGGAAGAACATGGTGTGATAAGGCAGGTCTTTAGATCAGACTCCACTGGGCTATGTGGGGGTTTCTGAATTGCTCTGAAAACAATGGGAATGTGTTTTTCTGGTTTTGCAGGCAGTACCTGAGCAGTAGAGAACCAGGTTGTGCTGTGATCTGCAGAACTACGTGTGAACAGTTCATTGATGCCACCTTTATACCATAGGTATCTTCTGTTGAGCTGAGAGGCTTCTTTGCAACATGGCAGGAGAGCTTCTTTACCTTTAATTTTGGCAGCTGATACTTAATTGGGAACCACCACAAAACAGGTTATTAAACTGTAATCTGGTGATGGTAGGTGCTAGTTGGAATAGATTGTAATGGCTAAGGGTTGTGCATAGTGAAACTTACACCATCTCAGTTGTCTGTTGATTGGTCTCTGTGCCTTGAAATACAATGTCTTACTTCTCAGCCTTCGCAGCCTGGAGGTTGATAAACCTCTAACCAATGCTTCGATCCAGTGATGCTTTCGGGATGCATGCAGAACTATTAGGAAGTGTTTCCTGATGGCTTACTCAAAGCTATGTGTGTTTACTGCAATTGCACCTTAGCGTCACAGCTTTTTGTTGTTTTTTAAAAAGGAAATTCTTCTAATTTTTATAGTTGAATGGTATTCTTGTGCTGGGAGCCAACCTTTCAGGGAAGGTGCAAGTGAGAAATTGTACAAATAGAAACTTCGTTATTAAACACATAGCGCTGCCCAGAAGCGTGGTTTGACCAAGTATGCTGTGTCAAGAAGTATGTTTAATGTAGAGCAAGAGTCAATATTAAAAGCTCCTTCAGAGGTGATTTAGGCTGAGTAGATGAAAATGAATACACCTAACATGAAAGGAAACAAGAGAAATTAACTGCATTGTTAGAGTTGCTATTTGATATTTCTTAAGGCAATTTATTTCATAAAGTATTTTTACTACCTGAAGGAGCAAGTCTTGACACATAAGTTGGAGGGGGAAAAAAACTCCAAGCAATATGATTAATTTTCTCAAGTAATTTTGGGGGCTAGATACTTGTCAAGGCATTGTTTTCCTTGTTTTTTGTAACTCTTTAACCATGTGCTGTTCAGAGTTCTGTATTGTTGGATCTCAGCTTCTTTCAAGTGATTTGTTTTGATTTCAAAGCAATTGGCTGTATGTGGGAAGAATTTTTTTTCAGAGCGGGAAATCAATATGGAACTTATGGATAACTGATAGCAAGAATGAGCACCATGTTTAGAAGTTTGGTATTGTAGGCTACTTCACAGAAAGCTTAAAATTAAGCAAATAGAAATTTCTTAAGCGCTTAGAATTATGTAACTGGTAGAGCATTGAACTCCACCAAAAAATCCTTGGTGCCAAAGGAAAAAATGTGTGCTACTCTCAGTACAAAAGCTGTCTTCTGCGGGCCCCTGTGTTGCAAGGTGCTACAGAGCTTCTCTCTGTGTACTTAATCTTCTATTTTTGTTGCCTTTAGGTATCCTGGATGCTAATAAGCAGAGA